TAATTGAAAAAAATCTAAATCCAAAATAAATAAAAACATATTTTTTCTATCAAACTTAATTCAGATGAATATCTCTGCAGGTTTGAATTATGATTCCCATTCGGTGCTTTTGGATTCTTTTAAATAGATATCAACTTTTTTTAATGGATCTCAAAGTAATAGGTGTGCACAAAGTAAAAATTTAGGGTGACGCGTATTCCGTTAAGACTGTTTTGCAAAAAATTTAAAATATGCGACAGAGCAGGGTGATCGTAATTTAGATTGCCGTCTAAAATTTTGACCTATTTTGCAAAACAACAACGAGGATATAAAGAGCATTTAGATACCGCATCTTTAAAGATTAAAATTAAAAAATATATTATATTAATATTCGTGCTCGAAAACAATGAAACGTAAAAAACCAATAAATAGAGGATGTAAAATTTGTAATCTTGGTGCGTCTCATTAAAAAATATACATGGAACGGACATGTTTGCTAGCTGGATCTATTTTACCACCAATAATAAACATTTAAAACGGTTTCAATACTTATTATTATTTTAATCTATTATTGTTTCTAGATTTTAATATTTTATAAAATTGAAATATTCTTTCAATTATTTAAAAAAATAATTAAACATATTTTTAGTTTATATAAATATTTCAAATTTTATTTTTAATTTTATTAAAAAATAATATATTTTGATCTCTACAAATTTTTTATTCATAAAGTTATAGTCTTTATTATTTTCTAAAAATTTTAAAACGATTTAATTATTCTTAAATTTTTGAATAATTTTTTTTATAAGTGTTAAGAATATTATAAAATATCTATTTATAAAATTTTAGAATTTTTTAAAATGATAAAAATTAAATATGAATGTTTAAAAGTTTAAAAAATATTAATAAAAATAATGAAAATTTTGATTTAGAAATTAAATTTTGAATTTTTTTTAAAATTTTTTTTATAATATTTTAAACATGACTACAAAATAATCATACAAAAATATACATCGATTTAATAATATAGACTAAAATGTCGTGCATAATAATTTTATAAAGAGTAAAACATGTCAATTTTTTCCATAAGAAACAAAAACAAAATTCGGTAAATTTATAAGAAGCAATAATATACTTAACCAAAAAAAATAGAACAAGACCAGTTTTTTAATAGCACGGAAGCATATAATTTCTCTATATATTCTGTTGAAATGAGCATGTAGAATAACAAATTATTGGGTATTTAAAAAAGTTAATTAAAGAGAGAAATGGGTGAGAGAAACACAAGTAGTAGCAGAAGCAAGAGGTGGTCTCTGAAAGGGATGACAGCTCTAGTGACCGGTGGATCCAAAGGAATAGGGTTACTATCTTCTCCTCTTATTCTTCTTGCATATTAATTCTACTTTTTGTGTGTATGTGATTCTGATATAAACTGTAATGAATAGATATGATATTGTGGAGGAGTTAGCAGAGCTAGGAGCAACGGTACACACTTGTGCCAGAAACCAAGCTGAACTCAACGAATGCTTACATCAATGGGAAACAAAAGGATACAAAGTTACTGGTTCAGTCTGTGATGTCTCATCTCGTGTACAGAGGGAGGACCTCATAGCTACAGTCTCTTCTCAATTCAACGCCAAACTCAGTATCCTTGTAAGCCTTTTCTAATAATTGGAATCACATCAAACTCAAGTTTTTTTTTTTTTAAAGAACTTTTTAACATCTTTTGAAAAATTTCTTAATTTGCTTATACTTTTTAATAGATGAATTCTTATCTACTCAATTTGAAAAATTGGATAAAATTATCTTTGTTGTAAAATCCATTGAAAACAACAAATAATTATAAATAATTAAATATATTAAAATTAAATAATATTTTTTGATCGGTTAATATATACTATTCAATTTTTTGTGATGGGTAAAGAAATTATACACTTTCTACTATAGAAGGAGATCGCACGCTCATTTGAAACCACAGGAATTAAGAAAAAATCATTCTCTTCTACTCTCACTTTGTTACAAATATTTTCATACAAATTTTATATATATATATCCTAGAGTTGTGAGAGAAATTACTTAATACTAACTTTGTTAACATAGTAACTCTAAATATAAGTGATGTGAATTGTGTTGATCAAAAGATAAACAATATAATAATGAAAAAGATAAATAAACAACTGAAAATAAAGTGACAAAAATAAAGAGAGAGGAGACATGAAGATCACATCATATAATTTTTCTGATTCAGCTTAAATCGGTATAAATCACTTGACATATTCTAACTTTTGAAAATTTCCTCTTGAAATTTACACTAAGATAGAACAAAAAACCATAATCAACTCAAGCAACCTTTCAATATAATTTGATTTTTTGCACATGAACAATAAAAAATCCTTCCATAAACAAACAAGACTTTTTTATAAGTCCTGTTCAAAACCTAAACTAGAGCTTCTCACATATTCAACTAAATAACCTTTAACAAAAATTTTATCCAAGCTAAACTCAAAACCTAAACCAAATTTTTAACTCGGTAGTTCATCTTTTATAAATTAAATAATTAATTTTGATATCTAGGAATATAATTTTTTAAAAAGAAATATCTTAAAAATAATTTGTGTGAAACATTATTTAAAATAAATTCATATAATTCTTTAAAATTTTGATATTAAAAAAAAAAAAAACAAGATCCATTGACATGAAGTGTAAGTATAAAAGACTTATACTAAATCTCAATTATTAAAAGTATTTGATCAAACTATCGTATAAATAACCAATTTTTTAAGCGAAAGATTATAAATTATATATTTTATTAAAACTTATTTAAAGAGAAAAATGAATATCGAATGTCAATCAATGATATGTGGAATATTAATTAACATTAAACTCTTATTTAAATTGATTTTTTATTTAAAGTTTTCTTTTAATTATCTAATTTTATAAAAATAATTTATAAAAAAAAATAAAATTCACCGATCTTATATGACACATACAAAAAAAATTGTTGGAAACTTTATATTATGCTAAAGTATCTTTATATATGTGTGTGTAGTTTTTGATTTGTTACATTATGCATACATTTTAATGTGCGAAATTTAGGTGAACAACGTGGGAACAAACATATACAAACAGACACTGGATTTTACAGAACAAGAATTTTCATTTCTGTTGAATACAAATCTTGAATCTGCTTTTCACATAAGCCAGCTTGCACATCCACTCCTTAAAGCTTCAGAGTCCGCAAGTATTGTTTTCATATCTTCCATTAGTGGTGTAGCATCACTAAATATAGGAACTATCTATAGTGCAGCAAAAGGTAACCATTTCATATAGTGTTAATTAATTGATTTATTGACAATATAAATGTTAATTTTAATATATGTAATTGAATCGACAATGCAGCTGCAATAAACCAACTCACAAAAAATTTGGCATGTGAATGGGCTAAGGACAATATAAGGAGTAATTGTGTTGCACCAGGTCCCATCAGAACCCCTCTCGGTGAAAAAGTAATTTTCTATCTTTGATTTTCTGCTGACAAAAATTGATATTTGATTAATTAATTCTGATTAAAAATGAGTTCGACCGCGATTCCTTCTTGCAGCACTTAAAAGATGAAAAACTTCTTAATGGTTTCACTTCAAGAACTCCTCTAGGACGTATTGGAGAGCCAGATGAGGTGTCTTCTTTGGTGGCATTCCTATGCTTACCTGCAGCCTCTTTCATAACAGGGCAGACCATTTGTATTGATGGTGGATTAACTGTTAATTGTCTCCTTATATAATAAGTTTGGCTTATACAAACAATAGTTTTGTTGAAAAAGATTATAACTTGAAGCTAGTAACATAAATTTTTATGTTGGTGTTTATTATTAAACTTGTACACAAGTCATGTTTTCATTTTATTTTCAATCAGTTTTTCAGAAAAGATTATAAACAGGTATTCAAGTGAGTTAATTAACAAACTCAATTGTAGTAGTAGTATTTATGTTATTGTTAACAATAAACAAATATTATCAATTGGACGAGTGAAAATTTCAATCAAAGTTGCATTGTTTGTTTAGACAAATATATCAAATTCATAGGATGAAATTTCTATCTGTTGTGTAAACTCAAACAAATCTAATTATTGATATATTCAAAGAAATTTGATAAGTCTGACAAAAAATAATGAAAATAAAAATAAATTACTGCAAGGAATACAATAAAACTTGTGTAATCAATTCGATTAAATTGATTTAGATGACTTGTCAAAAGGAGTGGTTGGCAGATTTTGACGAGTCGAAGAAGAGTAAGGTAAAACTTGTTGATAATAGTTCGTTGCAAGCAGAATGTACTGGAAATATAGTCTTTCAAATGAGTAATAGAGGGAAAGCTATGATCAAAGATGTGCTTTATGTACATGGAATAAAGGGAAACTTGTAAAGTGTTGGACAACTAGTAGAAAAAGGTTTCTCATTTGTCATGAAAGATGGAGTTTTGAAATTGTTCGACATCAAAAACAATTTGGTCTTAACATCTCTGTTGTCGAAGAACATGACATTTAAGACTATGATCAGGTCGACTGAAGTTCAATGTTTGAAAACTGTTGTTGACCATAAGGATAATTGGTTGTGGAATTTGAGGTTTGGAAATTTGAATTTCCAATCACTCAATCAACTGATTACTCAAGATATGGTTACTGGAATTCCAAGTCTTGAGATGCCTGAAAAACTTTGTGAAGGTTATTTAGTAGGAAAGTAATCCAGAAATTCTTTCGTTTCGACTATGCCAATGAGATCATCTTGCATACTCGAAGTGGTATATTCAGATGTATGTGGTCTATTCGAAGAACATACAATTGGTGAAAACATATATTTTGTTTCGTTTGTCGATGAGTTTAGTTGAAAGTTATCCATCTATGTGATCAAACGAAAGGATGAAGTATTCAAAATCTTTAAGAGATTCAAGATACTTGTCGAAAATCAGAGTGAGAAGAAGATCAAAGTTCTATGAACAAATGGAGGTGGCGAATACACATCCAAGATGTTTAAAGATTCCTATGTAAAACATGGTGTTGATCATGAGGTAACTGCTCCTTATACACCTCAACATAATGGAATTGTTGAAAGAAGAAACAAAACCATATTAGATATGGAGAGATGCTTGCTGAAGCAAAACAATTTGCCAAAGTCTTTATGGGGAGAAGCTGTTTCGTCTACAATTTATATTTTGAATAGGTGTCCTACCAAGATATTGAAGAACAAAGTTCATGAAGAAGTATGGAGTGACAAAAGACCACCAGTGAGTCATTTGAAGGTGTTTGGCTCTATGTGTTATAAGCATGTTCCTGATGCAAGAAGAATGAAGCTTGATGACAAGAGTGAACCTATGACTCTGATAGGATATCATAAAACTGGTGCATATAGACTATTTAATCCAGTTAATGAGAATATTGTGTTGAGTCGAGATATTGTGATTAATGAAAATTTTGCCTGGGATTGGAATTCTAGCAATTCAATTAACAAGCCATTGATGAGCTCTGATGTCGATGAAGAAACTTATGAAGTAGAGGTCGAAGGAATTATTGAGAATCTAGTCGAAGTCGAAGAAGAAGCAGTTGCTGACATTTCCAACACAATCGAAGTCGAAGAGGATGTGGATGAAACAAGCCAAAGACTTCAAAGAAATAGAATTCTTCTAACAAGACTTCATGATTATGAAGTGGTGGGTGATGATGAAGTCACACCATATGGAGAATTAGTTCATTTTTCTTTACTTACAGGTGTTGAACCAATTAACTATAGAGAAGCTTTAAAGACTAAACAATGGAAGTTATCTATGGTCGAAGAGTTACATGCAATCAAAAGAAACAACACATGTGAGTTAGTCAAATTGCCAACACATATAAAAGCTATCGAAGTAAAGTGGGTATTCAAGTTGAAACATAATGTTGATGGCTCGATAGCAATACATAATGCAAGATTAGTAGCTCAAGGGTTTCTTCAAAGAGAATGACTCAACTACCTTGAAGTATTTGCTCTAGTAACAAGATTGGAGACTGTTCGACTAATGGTGGCATTGGCATGCAACCAAGGTTGGTCGACATTTCATTTAGATGTGAAATCAACAGTTTTGAATGGTCCTATAGTCAAAGAGGTCTATGTAACACAACCTCCATGGTTTTTGATTCAGAAGAAAGAGAGTAAAGTATATAAGTTTCACAAAACGCTCTATGGTCTCAAGCAGGCACTTAAGGCATGGAACAAGAAGATCGACTCATACTTAGTCAAATTGGGATTTGTCAAATGCAAATCTGAGTATGGTGTCTATATTCAGGTTATAGCATAAGATATAACAATCATTTGTTTATATGTCGATGACTTGCTAGTAACTGGAAATAGCTTGGAGAACTTGTCTAAGTTCAAAGAGCTGATGATGAAGGAATTTGAAATGTCTGATCTGGGAAAGTTATCTTATTTCTTAGGTATGGAATTTCAAATGTAGAAACAAGGTATGGTGCTACATCAAAGGAAGTATGTCAAATAAATACTCAAGAGATTCAGAATGGATCATTCGAGTCCTGCATCCTCATCTGTCGAACCAAATGTAAAATTAGAGAAGAATGTAGAGGAAGACAAAGTCGATGTAACTTGTTCAAGCAAATTGTGGGATGTCTGAGGTATGTGTGCAACAGTCGACCTGATATAGGTTTCACTGTAGGATTATTAAGCAGATATATGAGTGAACCAAAAGTGTCACATATGAAGGCTACAAGAAGAATTCTGAGATATTTGAAGGGTTTGATAAATTGTGGAATACTATTTCGACGAGTTCTGAAGATAAAGAAGCAATAGTTAATTGTTTTTCAGAAGCTGATTGGTGTGGAGATAAGGAAGATCGAAGAAGCACAACTGGATATTTCTTTCAATTATTTGGTGTCCAATTTCATGGTGTTCGAAGAAACAACCTGTGGTGACATTATCATCTTGTGAAGCTGAATATAAAAGCAGGATCCTATGTTGCATGTCAAGCAATTTGGATCAGATATGTACTTGAAGAAATGAAGGTCGAAATGAAGAAACCTCTTGTATTGCAAATCGACAACAAGTCAACCATAAATCTGACGAAGAATCCAGTTCTGCATGGAAGAAGTAAACATATTAAACCAAAGTTTCACTTCTTGAGGGAAAATGTAAATCAAGGTGAACTTGAAGTGAGGTATTGCTTGAGTGAAGCGCAACGGACTCCTCCTCGGACAACAGGAACAGGAATCCCCACAAAGAGAATTCTTATAAAGTCGGCATATTTTAGATGGCATCTTTAAGCCCATCTCTGACGACTCTCCGTCATACTCATTGGATGGCATCTTTAAGCCCATCTCTGAGGACTCTCTGTCATACTCCTTGGATGGCATCTTTAAGCCCATCTCCGACAGTCTTTTGTCATCTTTTCCAAATGGCATCTATAAGCTTATTCCCGATATTATTCACCAACATTCTCACTTCGGACGAGTGCAAATTTCTGGGCACTCTAGTGTTCAATCATCTTCCACCTTTAGATCACGAAAGGCAAACAGACCAATCTAAATCTCCAGGTTCAAGAAGATTGAACAAGGGCAGCTGTTGTACACCAAAATTTTCCCTCCCATTTTCACACAAGATATATTCCTAGAAGTCCTCAATTGCTCAAGGTTGACCAAGAATTGACCAAACAATTCTCCTCCTAAGGCAATGAACCCCCAACTAGGGTTCCAATTTTTATCAAAATGGTTGAGCTCCAAAGGTCTCAAATGTTCTCCATGGTACTAATATGCCTTCAAGATTATCTATGCCAAATTTCATGTCTTACACAATAAGTTTGCTCAGTCAATTGCTCAAGTATTGGAAAATCAAATATGCTAGGTCAAAAGTCAATTGTGGCCCATGTACAGTCAAACTTCAAGATTTTTGGTCAACATCAACATTTTGAAGTGACATCCATAATTTGATCAAAGGTTGATCATGATTCCTCAATAAATGCTCCTAACCCATCAAAATGGCGTATACTTGCAGAAATAATCCATCAGTATCCAAAAGTATAACTTGTGATGAATCCAAAAAGGTCATTAATTTGATGATCATTCATTTTGATTGAAATTTCATATTTATCCTTTTCATGATAATTATATTTCTCATCCTCATGTTTCACCGATTCGGGTTGATCAATTCCTTCTTCGACGTCATTGAGTATGTCTCTTGAAGATACACCTACATCTTGAAATGAAACACCTTTTTTGAGTATTCTCTGATACAACATCAAAATTAATTTATGCATCTTTTACCAATTAAACGATACTTGTTGTTGCTTTCTAAATCACATAATCCATCTTCTTGCCACATATGCAATAAAATTATAATATGTTACCCATCATATTCCTTGATCCACTATAAATGCGAATCCATATTCTCTTCATAGAGTCAATACCATTTTCCTACAAAATCAACAAGATAAGTTGATACCCAATCTTCATTGGGTCCTTGAGGTTTAGTGAAAAATTGGTTGAATTTGGGAAACCATGAAAAAACACCTTTAGGAAAAGAAAAAAAACTCCTAAGTTTGAATTTTTCAATAGTGTGGCCTTTCTTGCAAGCATAGTGACAATTTAAATCTTCACCATCACTAGAATCACTATCAATGTGCTCAACTTTTGATAAACTTGAACAAGAAGTCCTAAGAGCTCGAGACTTCACTCCTTCCTCCTTATTAGTGACTTTATCCTTTTTCTTCTTCCTCTCAATATTTTTATCATGCTTGTCTAAGCAAGTAAGTTCTGGATCATGTTCTTCAAACTTACCAAACAATGTACTGAGATCAAGTATTGTAAGATCATTAGCTTCCTTGTTCACGGTGACCTCCAGTTGCCAATTCCTAGTAAGACATCTCACAACTTTGTTAATAGCAATCGCATTGGAAATAAGATTACCAAGTGCGTTCAAACGATTAATGAGATTTAATGTATTTTTCTTATCATCATTATTCCATATTGATTTCGACTTAGGTGTGACACCACCATCAACAACATGTGTTACCGGTGTTGGACCATTTAAAATAGCATCCCACACACCTTTATCATAAAAGTTAACATGAATGTGCAAACAAGCTTTCTAATAACTATAGTTTTCTCTCGAAAATATTAGGGGTCTTTTGTAATCCCATTTAGGTTCGTACGTCACTCTCTAATAAGAGTTTCGAAGTACGGAATTAACCTAGCTTTGGTACCACTTGTTAAACTACAGAGACTTATTTAGAGGGGGTGAATAAATCTCCAATTAAAGATTACCTTTCAAACATAGGCATTTAAAAACTTATTTGAAAAACAATGTTGAGCGGAAGTTTTTGGCCTAGATCAAAATAGTAGTCTAAATGATCCTAGTTATTGGAAACTCGAATATGCACAAGCTGTATAAACTTAAGATAATAATAAAATCAATCAACATAATAATATCTCAATTAACCGTTTAATATCAAACACAACAGTTTCCTATTTCCAATAAAATTTAGTTAAAAACATAGTTTGACAATTTTTCGAACACTTGGCGCGCGATCAATTTTTCAGAATTTTATTTTGAGCTTTATTGATATGTGTGATACGGTGGGAGAACTGACTTGGGTGTTTTGCGTTTTGATCGCATTTGTGCGGATAGCAAGAGTCGCCACCGTATTTTCTTTTATCCAAAAGGAAAGGTAAAAAAGAACAGGAAAGACCTTTCAAGATTATTTCTCGGGTTCGGGGGGTAGATTATGAAAAGGGAAGGTATTAGCACCCTTTTCATCCATGGTTTTCCATGGGCTCTTAGTTACTCGCTAGATCACTTGCTTTTGAATGTGCTTGTGGTATGGGTTTTGAAAGTATTTTGAAAATGTCTTTGCAATGGTTCTCATCTCTATAAGAACGCGTACAAAGCTTTGTTTCGAAAAATAGTTCAAAGATGTGTTTGTGGAATGTGTTTTTGAAAGTTTTTTTTTTAGAAGATGTTTTGCAATGGTTCTCGTCTCTATAAGAACATATACAAAATGTTTTGTCTTTTTTTTGAAAATGTTTTGAGATGAAAGTGTCGGTGTAAAAAGGTTTTTGTCGTGAGCAAGCGAGTAACTAGGAGCGAATCTACCTACTCGAAAAGTCTTAAATGTTCTTTTCTTCTTCCTTTAGATGTTGTTATCTTACCATTGATTTGGTAAGAAGCCCCATCGTTGGATATGAAGAGACAGGCGCGGGACGTTTGTACAGTCATAGAAAGCAACTTGTGAGACGCTTTAACAATTTTTGTAAGGGGCTAAATCGTTTTACCGAAGGCAACATCGAGGGACATCGAGGGACTACGATCTTTTTTATCAAAAGGGTTTTGCTAAAGTGTCCCATATTCGAGGGACATGATTGTATTTCCGAGGCAACGAGCGAGGTTACCCTAGAGGTGCGCGTGTGAAAAAGTGTGTTTGATTCAAGTTATTTTGTCTTTTGAAATTAGGTTATCTAGCGATTGATTTTGAATCTTGCCATACACGCCTAATTACTATACAGTAATAAGTAAAACAGTAAAGTGCGAAATTTGAAATTCTACGCTACTACAAAGCTTCGGGAATGGGGGTACAAATTAATGAATGGGGGTGACAATAAGAAATAAACACTTAAA